GGAGGTCGTAACCTAGGACCGAGCTCCCAATTTCCTTCGAGATCCAAGTGGATGCTCCGACATACAGTCCCCTTGCTATAGGCACTCTATACTCTGCCCCATAGATCCATTCCCTTGCCCTCCGACTTCCAGTTTCTGAGCTCTAACCACTAGGGAATACTGCCTCTGAGGATCGAGGGGTCCTGTCTTTCCCTCCGACCGCCCTTCTGGCTCTCCCCCCGCTCTCCGGTCCCTGGCCTGAACTTCAGATCGCCAACCTCCAGCGGCCGCAGCTGCGATCCCAACTTCAAGTCACTTTCCAAGAAGAAAGGAAGGCGGGGCCAGAAGCTCACAAGTCCACCAGTAGCGCGTGAGGAAAGCCGTAAGGATGGCCAATGGTGCGCCCGCATGCGGCCCGGCGGCCAATGGCGCGCGGCGATGGGAGGGCTCCGGCAAAGGGCCGGCAAAAGGGGAAGAAGAGATACAGTAGTATGAAGGTTCTATCATCATATGATTCTCGGTCATGTGACCTGGAAAAGCTGGCAGGGCGGAGAGGGGTTGGGAGTTGGTTGTGCGAGTCCCTGCCTTGCACTGGGGGTTCAGGTGTGTGGCTCCGGGTTGGATAATATTAATTCTGGTTTTTCCCTGTGGGTTAATAATGCGAGCTTCGTTCACAGCTGCCTGTTGCTTTACAAGTAGGTCTCTCTTCCATTTAAAGAGTTGGCCGTGTTATTCTGAGCTGGCTGGGGAATTCTGGGAATTGAAGTCCACCCAGCTTAAAGTTGCCCCGGTTGGGAAACACTGCTCTAGAAGTTTTCTTGGGTTGATTGCAGAGAATAAGGGTTTTTTTTTTCATATATAACAGCATGTTAATTTGCTTTATTTCATTTTGAGCCATTGTTCCAGTATTTGAGCGATGGACAGTCCTTTAGGCTGCAATTTAATGTACATTACCCAACAAGAAAGTCCACTGAGTTTATGAAAATTATCGGTGTAAGTATGTACCCAGACTGTGCCTAGTTTCATTAAACAGATACTCTATGTTTAAATTTCTTTCTCCTGCTCCAGTTTTAGTCGTGGGAGGTTCTATACTCTGCCTCATCCATGTCTGATAGCAGCTGGGTGGAAGTAAGAGGCAGGGCCGCCTTGGTGGTAGCACTGAGATTGTGCTCTCTTTTGTTGGGAGAGATATTTTGCACTATTGTTAACATTTTAAAACATTTAACTTTCCGTATGTTTTAGCATTGTTGACTCTGATGTTTTTTGAACTGCTGCTGTTTAATTATGAGAGCAGATATATTTTTTAATCTTCATCTTGTCGTGTTTTAGAAATATTGCCTGCCATTTTGATAGAAAGCAGGATAAAGGATGTAAAATTATCTCGTTTCTTTAGATTTTAAAGGAGAGACACTTTAGACGTGTATCAACATGCCTCACTGGGTTTTTGTCAGTTAAGGAAGCATACAACCTAAAGTAAGCCGGAATCTTGTTGTAAACAAAAGAAATCTTAATATCTTTACACAGCAACCATGTCCATAGTCAACCTTAGCAAAAAAGAAAAACTACTATTAAATAATTAGCTGGCAGTAGCAAAATAATCAGCTTACACCAGCTTTCCCTAACCTGTCTGTCTACAGATGTGTTAAGACTACAAATCCCAATGAATGAGAATGTGGTGGCTGTGAGGTTAGAGGAGGTGATCATGTATGCAGTGCGTAATTTTATATCCTTTATCCTGCTTTCCATCAAAATGGTATGCAATATTTCTAAAATGCAACAAGATGAAGATAAAAAAATATATCTGCTCTGATAATTAAGTAGCACAGTTCAAAAAAGAGGAAGGGCTCAAACCTCTTTCTGAAATCCTCTTGGTCTTCACTGTGGCCCTACCTTCTGCCCAGGGTTAGAATTTGGTAGTAGTTCCCACTGTCACCACTGAATTTCCGGAGGTGTGCCTCACCTCTAGTGTGTGAGAGAAGTAAGACTCCCACACCCTGCTGCCTTTCTGTAAATAAAATGGTAAGAATGAAATAATTGTTGTAGCATCACATCGTAGTCATATAGTGTTGAAGCATGTGATTAAAGATATCAGTCTGTCTACCCCTTGGGAGGTTGGATAATCTCACAAGAGATAAAAATCAAACTTTATTTTTAAAAAATCTATAAAAATCACGTTTTAGATTTTAAAGTTAAACATTTTAGAAATTATAAACATGCACTGTTGCAGGACCTACAATGCACTGCTGTCCAGTTAACAATGTACAGCAGCCAGAACTTTGTTAAAATATGAAATCCAAAAGACCACAAGTCTTGATGTGTTGTCATTTCCTTAGGCTTCAAGTTTTAGACAGCTCAAGAACTTATGGTCTCAAAAGATTTGAAAAAAAAAAGATGTATTTCATGCACAATATACATAAAAGACTGAAGTATATGCAATCACTGAGCTTGTACAGATATAAATAATTTTGGAATTAAACACAGATCAAAAAATTAAAATTCAACACAGCTTCTGCCTAAAAGCTTTATCTGTTTCTCAGAGACTGTGTGAATCCTGAAGCAAAATCCTCTGTTTCTTCTGGCAAGTACCTGGGGGCAATTCCAGACATTTATCTGAGCAGCTGGGAAGATGTTACACCCCACTAGTTTTCTCAACTCAGGCATAGCAACTTCTTTCTTCATTTCCCCAGAACTATCCTGACTTTTTGCTTTCTAGGAAGAGAAAAGCTGGGGCATCTCCCTTTGCTTTATAGGAGAAAAGTCATGCTTCCCCCAGTGCTGATTCTGCTTGAGAGGAAAATGTGTGTATTCCCAATCCAGGAAGTCAAGAGTCCTCTTTGTGAACGCAGGCTGGGATCTCAACAATATGTTTAGAAACTCTTTTGAGAAAATAAATGGCTGTGAAATCTTTTAAAACCAGAGCTTACAAATATCTTGATTATGTCTATAATATGTGCGATTTCTTCCACGTTTCCCCTCCTCCCCCATACCATTTTTTTTCTATTAGGCCCACTTATCTCTTCAAGGGACCAACACAACAGATAAGATTTGTGGAAATTTTAGCACTGTAGATTCTTTGAAACAACATTTGATTAAAGTCTGAGAGGAAAGTATAGAGCTTTCATGTTGCACAGACACTTTCATTAGGTAGAATGGAAAAAAGCTAATTCCAGCTCAAGATAAAAAAAAAAAAGGAAGAACAATATTTGTTCAAAATGCAAATAATTTTGTTTCCTGTGGGGGCATACCCAGCAAGCTTTTTCTGCTTCACAAAGCTGTAAAGATCAAAGTATGTCATTTTGGACTAAATTGCCTGATACTTATTTAAGGGGACCTCTGAGTCTGTCTTAGCTCTTTCATCAGCTGCTGACTATAAAGGTTGATTTTATAGATTGCCAAAATAGTATTATTGCTGTTATCCTGGGTGCAATTCCCAAATACCCTTGGTAAATTTGAAATAAAGAATCAGTTGTGATGGCCAGATCCTGGCATGAATTCAAACATCAGTGTCACATCTCGCTGGATCTTTGCATCATCAGCGTTGTGCAGGTTGTTCAGGTGATCCTTTGATCTTAGGCGATTCTGTTATTCAAACTGTTATTTTGTTATTCAGACATGATCTGTGGTCCTGCCCCAGGGAGGCAGCTCTCTTGGCATGTGGGGAATAAATATTTAACTCTGTGCTTCAACTTTGCATAGCTCCATTTCATTCCATTTCCAAACAGTTGGAAACAGAAAATAAGGGACGGTTCAACTACTTAAGCAGAGGTGAAAGCTGGCTGCTATTTAGAGCAGGAATAAGAATCAAGTCCCCTCCGGAGGTTTTGAACTTCAACTCCCATCAGCTCTTTTGTCCTTGTTTTTGTCCTCTTGCCTGATGAAGATCTTTGGGGGCTTTAAAGGTTGCATTCTCTCTTTTGTTATTTTGATTGTGTAATAAAAATATCAACTATGGATTTTCGATTTCCCATTAATCAACTTGGCAATGCTAGCCTTTTATTCCCATATTCAAGTAGCTTTCTTCTGTCTTTGATTTTGAATACAACAGGATCATTAGTAAAAACAGAGGTTTATGGTCTATCAATGACTAACCAGTTTATTATCGCATAAGGTTTCATGGATCATAATCCATGCCATTGATTTTTTACAATGGGATTCAAATTGCTTGGCATAGTTACTTATTGATAACTCCTGTTGAGCTTGAATTTACTTCTGAGGAAATGCATTTAGGATTTTACAATAAATCTTTTTAGGCCCCTGGAGAAAGCAATACAGTATAATTGCTGGGTTGGAAAGGTGATTCTCCTTTCCTACTGCCAGGAATAGAAAGGGAAGTAAAGACATTTGCAGGTTACCAGCAGTCTAAAGGGCACAGTCTGGCTAATAATGGTTTGGAATATGTAGTCCATGGAAATGGCCAGTTCCCACAATGGTAAGTTTTGAAATGCATTGATTGAGGAGGGAGAGGTGAAAGAAATAGACAGTACAACTCGAATCGTATTTATTTAGAAGTTAATCTTTTTTAAAGCTCAGCAGAATTTCGTTCTTAGTCAATACATTTGGAATGTAACCATGATAGCTTTGCAAAAGTAAACTTCAAAGCGCACTGGCGTTGACCCCCTGCACACCATCTGCTCTTCCCTTGCTCGGATCCCTATCATGTTCCTCTCACCTTGCCCCCTTGTGTTTGGCTGGCCACACACAGGACTCACACAGTGAGCAGGATTTTTTTTTTTTTAATGCCAGTAGGATTGGTCAATTACACACCGTGTGTTTGGGTGTGTACTGATCCACATGCAGCACGCCTGAAAAACTTTATGGGTGAGGTTCCTTTTATGAACTGCTTGGCAAATTGTGAAGGGAGGAGAATAGAGCATCCAGGAGTGTCTCTAGGGAAGGTGGAGGGCAGGGGATTCTAGAAAAGGGAATAGCCAGAAACTTCCTGCATTCTGTAAGGAGGTTATTTGGACCAGAGACGGTGAATACCCAGAACTCTCCCAGCTGTGTGAGAAGGCGGATTTGGGGGTGGATGGGGTGGGGGCTCAGGATCTAGGAACAGGCCTCTTGAGTCCCTTGGGAGAGGTTTGAAGGAGGTTAGTGAGCAAGTGGGAGCTTAACCAGGTTTCTTAGCTCTGAGGGTATGGCAGAGTTAATTAGAGTGTTGGTCCCTCCCTTTCTGGAACTGGTTGGACGGCTTTCCTGGCGCTCTCACCTGGGGCACTCCTTCTTTCCACTTGCAACCTGGATAGTTGGCCTTCCTGCTGCTCATTTTCCTCTTCCTCCTCCTTCCTTTAACTGGGTTTGTCTGTAAATCCGCATACTGGCATATGAAGGAACCTTTTTTTTTTTTTTTTTACATGGCTGTTGCAACCTGAGCTTTGGGATCCTTTTTTCCTCAGTTCTGAACAGTTCCCCAACTCCTCTCAAGTAAGTGCACCCTTTCAGCAGCCCCAACCCCATGGTTTCCTCAGGACTGGGCCGTTGCCGGCTGGCCCTGGCGTTTGCGGTGTTCATGGACGCTGCAGGCACCGGGGCACTGCTGACGGGCATCTTTGCTAGACTGAGGCTGCGAGGTCGAGACTTTGGGGACCTTTTAATCTACTCGGGTGCGGTGCTGGTGTTCCTGAGTCTGCTCGGTTGGATTATGTGGTACACGGGCAATATTGAGATAGCCCCTGAAGATCTGACGAGGGATTATCACGCCAAGGGGGGCACGCTAGCACGGCTTGCCAGGAAGATCTCACGGACCTGGTCGCGACGCCAAGGTGGTGGGCTGGCCATGAGGGCTGTTTCAAGCAGCCGAGAAGCAGCATAGAGGTAATATATGTTCCCCTTTTTCTTACAAATCACATCAGGACAGGTTACATAGGACAGTAACCAGTTCCTTTAAACTATGCTTCATGTGTGTCTGAACACCTTGCTTTATTCCTTTTATCAAAAAGTGTGTGCTGATTTCTGCACATCAACTTCCATATCAAACTGTCTTACAGCAAGGTGCCCTGGGTTTATTTATAGTTCATTAGCAATCCTAATAGTAATTGGGACTTTTGGAGATCACGGTTAGCCCAGCTCCCATTTCTGTAACATAAAACGGTGCATCCTGTAATCTGGATTAGTTCCATACTTGGCATTATTTTTATCTATTTTGTTGTACCAGCATTAATGAGGATTAGCTCAGCTGGTTTTGTGGTCAGTGCACAAATGGGGATTGTAATTTGCCTTGGTGATCGTAAATATGAAATGAGTAGGGACTATTGCACAGGAATGGGATTGGATGAGTAGGGTGACCAGCTACCCTTTTTCTGTCCATGCATGACTTGCTGTTGCAGTCATAAATCCATCATCTTCACAACTTCTTCTGACACAGACTTCCCATTCATGTCAGCATTTTGCTCTAAAAGAGCTACATTCCATTAGAACAAGTGAAACTGGATTGTGGATCTGACTGTGAAATTTGTTTCTTTACCTTCCCCTGTATTTTGTAACGTTCCATATTCCTTCCACCATAACATTGTATTATCCTAGTTTCTCATTCATATGTTACCCTATTGGAAGAAACTGACATTGTCCCCACCCAGCAGAGCTAGGGGTAATGGTAGCTACAGCCCAGCACATCTAGAAAGCATCATGCTGGGAAAGACTGGGTTTAAGGGTGCTGGGGAAGTCCTCTGCCCTTCACAACTACCGTGCATGAAAGGTCAATTAAAAAATGATGTCTCCTTCAAGTTGAGCTTGATTCTGGTTGACCAAGGATATGGCTATTGTCACTGCTTTCTTCTGGGTTGAGTGTTGATTTTGCAAATTGGGTTATAGCCTTGGTAGGTACTGGTGGCTTCCCCTCCAAATGCTAGCCAGATCTGACCTAGCTTCTCTTTGCAAGATCAGCCAGGATCAACTAGATACTCCCAATAAGGAAGTATATGTTATAGACAATAAGCATACCGTTGAGGACAATCAGAAGGAAACTGCCCAGCACTCACCCAATGCAATTCTGTCTAGATGTTCAACATACTAATTAAGGTTGGCTTTCCTTTTTCCATGCAAGCGTAGTTTTTCAGTCAACAGTTTGGCTAGCACAGCAATCTCTGCTACTGGTTCTATGCCGGGAGCAGTATCTTTTTGACTTTTGGCCAGTTTGCAACTGTTAAGAGCTGGGTGGTGGCCAGTGGTGCAATACAGTGCTGGGAAAGCGGAAGTACATCGTAAGAATAATGGGCTAAAAAGACAAACCTTTGCCCGAGTCATTATATGCCAAGAAGCATACTTAAAAATAATATCTATATAGCTGAGTTCACACAACGCGTGAGGCTAGTTTGCTTAACCATAGGTTATTAAATTATCATGTGGTTTGGTTGGTTTTGGTGTAGTGTGGTATAAATGTAGCCTCCAATAGAATGCATCATATAACTGGCTGATTTAGGTTGTTGAAAGGTAGCTTTTATCCCCTCTTTTTAATGGTTATTTACTTTAAACTAGACTGAGCCTGGTATAAATCTAGCCAACAGAAGATTATGCTCTGTAAAAAAAAACAAAAAAACCCACCATGGCTAGCTTTTTACAGCCATTGCATAATAGTAAGGAATACCATATCTGAGCTGCAATACCCCAGATGACCTCTGGGTGGTAGCAAAGAGCATCTATTTTCTCTATTTCTCTGCTGCCATCTACTGGTCATCTGGATTTTTTGTAGACCAGATGTGGTACAGGTAGTCTTCATTTAGTGACCACAATTGGGACTGGCAAGTTGGTTGTTAAGCAAAGTGGCTCCTGAGTGAAACTGCGACTGTGCTTAATGACCTTACTTCAGCTTTCCTTTGCTTTACAGATCTGTGAAGGTCATAAATGCGAGGATTGGTCATAAAGTTGCTTTTTCATCACTGTTGTAACTGCGAACGGTTGCCAAGCAAGGCGGTCGCTACATGAGAACTACCTATAGTCTTATAACTATAAAAATAAAATAAATAAAATACAATACTAACCCAAAATACACAATGAAATAAAATACTAACCAACCGGCAATGGCTACTAACTGACTGAATAGCATGAGTCATGTATCAACAAGGATCCTAAAACTGTATGTATTTTTGGCCAACCTCTGAAACTCTGTCATTGGAATGGAACTCTGGGTTTTATACAGATGAAGATTCATAAAAATTAACATATTTTTAAATAGCATTTAAGCATTTCACTTCACACATGCACATAGGGGTATACCCCCACCCTCACTTCACATGTTTACAGAGAGTCTCAATAGCTTTGGCCTTTGATCTGAGCACATCCTTCCAGTCCTGGGATTCTGATTGCCAGTCAGGTTTCCCAGTTATGACCCTACATGCATTGGGTCTTTCTCATTCCCAGGAAATGTACAGTGGGAAAAGAGAGGCGTGGTGCATGGATCATGGGGGCCCATGGGTGAGCGGGTAGGATCCTATTTCTCTCTGACCCCAAATCCAGAACATAAATGCTGTTGAATGCCTGTACATGTCCTCAAATCTCTTTATAGTCAATCCACTGTACAAGGCAGGTGGGGAGGGGATGAAGGGGCAGAAAGTAAAAGTTACTCTCATGGCAGAAGTGAGAATAAAACTGGGGACTTCCTGTTTTATAGTTCCTACTGTTAGCGGTTCAGCCGGCGACAGCTGCAGTGAACAATCCGCACATTTCCATTTTTTATGGCTCTGTGCAACTTGAATGGGAACTCATTTTAAGCTAGAAGGAAGGCTAATATCGTCCTTCCTTGCCAAGAGAGGCCCCTCTAGAAATGCAGTTCAAGTCACATAATAGAGAAGTCAGGGAACAATGCTAATTGTGGATGAACTTCTTCATGGCTTCTGCTTCTTTGAACTGAAGCCTGTTCCTTGCCAGCCCTTCAGACAAAGGACTGATCTGGAAAGACTTTTCTCAACCGCAGATATTCTTCTTTTCTGGGAGTCCTACTGGATCAGACCAAGGACCTATCTGATTCAGTAATCTATTTCCTACAATAGTCTACAACAGCATTTCTCAAGCTCAGCAATGTTAAGATGTATGGACTTCAACTCCCAGAATCCCCCCCCCCCCACCCCTTCCGGGGGGGTTCTTGGGTGGGGGTCGAGCTACTCATAAAAATTATTTGTCTGTGTAAAAAAGGCGAGAATAAAAGTGTTTCA